TGCTTTAGTTTTTCTCTCTAAGAATGGATATATACCTCTCCTCTTTCACCACTTACCTAGGCTCAGTATTCAGATATTTTTGTGGGCCCATATGTGTTAGTTAGCTTCCCATACTGTGACCCAAGTAAGTTCCCGATGAGAACAACTTAGAGGTGGGAAAGTTTATTTGGAGCTCACTGTTTTAGAGGTTTCAGTTCATAAATGGCTGACTCTTTTCCTCCAGACCCAAGGTGAGGCTGCACATCATGGGAGGAGGCACAGCAGAAAAAGCTGCTCAGCTCAAGGCAGCCAGGTAGCAGAGAGGAGCGGGGAGGGATCACAGAGAAGAAGCACCCTTCCAGGCATGCCACTAGTGATCCACCTCCTCCAGACATGCTCCATCTGCCTACAGTTACCACCCAGCTAGTCCATTCAAACTAGGATGGACTGATTTAGTTACAGCCCTCAATCCAATAATTTCACTTCTAAATATTCCCACATTAACACTGGAGCCTTTGGGGACACCTCATATCCAAACCATAATACTCCACCCCTGGCCCCCAGAAGCTATTGTCTATCTCACATTGCAAAATGCCTTTAGAACAACTCCAAGAGTCTCCATAGGCAATAGTTCCAGCATTACTTAAAAGTCCAAATCCAAAGTCTCATCTGAGACTCAAGGCAAACTCTTGGCTATGAGCCACTATAAAAATAAAAAGCAAGTGACATATATCCAGTATACAATGGCACAGAGTAAACATTACCTTTCCAAAGGAGAGGAATAGGAGCATACAAAAAAGGGATGGGATCAAACCAAGACTGAAACCCAGCTGGGCAAAAAAGTTCAGTAGCTCCACATCTGGTGTCTGGTGCACATGGTAAAGAGATGTGTTCTCCAAAGGGCTTGGGCAGCCCTGCCTCTGAAGCCTTTCTGGCTTCAGCACTCATGGCCTCTCTGTTTAGCTTGGCTTTCTCTGTAGCCACAGTTTTTCTCAGCAGACAGTCTACATTACTGGCACCTCTTAATTCCTGGGGTCTCCATTCTCACTTAAGTTTCACCTTCACAACTTCATGTACTGCCCTCTCAGGGGCAGCCCATAGGGATTTCAACCCTGCTACACTTTGCCTAGACTCCCAGGCCTTCCCTCGAAATCTCAATGGAAGCCTCCATGACCCCTAACTCCAGTATTCTGCATTCCTGAAGAACTAGCACCACATGGACAATGCTAAGGTCTGCTGCCAGCTTGAGTGGTAATTGGGCCCCTGGGATCATAACTGCAGCTGCCTCTGAGTGCCTGAGTGGCTGAGCACAGTGAAACAACTTCCTAGGTCCCCCGTGCAAGCAGGATGCTCCTGTGCGGTCTTATTTTACTTTTATACCCTTGAACCTGTGATGTGTATGGCCAAGGATGCCCTCAAGGCATTTTTTCCATTGTTTCTATGCAAAGTGTTTAGCATCTCTTTAGTGGCTATAATCTCTTTAACAAGCACACCATCCTTGGCCCCACTTTTACGTGCACTTTCTGGCCAAACTGCAAGTTTTAAAAATCCTTCTGTTTTCTGGTCCCAGTAAACCTGGCTAAATGAATCCATCATTATTCATGCCACTGCCTAAATGCTGTGCTGCCTTGAAATTTTCCCAACCATATTAATTGCCCATCACCTTTAGATTAAACCTCACAGAAAGTCTCAGGACATTGGAAAAAATGTAGGTCAACTTCTTTGCCAGAATGTAACACAAACAGCCTTTAGTTCAATTCCCAATATAACCCTTGTTTTCTGAAATGTCATGAACACAATTTTTATTATCTACATTCCTATGTACATTTTGGTCTTCTGAGCTCCACTAGAATCGCCCATCATGCTCCACCATTCCAACATTCTCAGGCTTCTCCAGCCTGCATCTCTGAACTTTTCCAAACTCCTCCCACAAAACATTTCCAAAGACTTCTGAACCACCAATTTAGTCACAGCAACAACGCCCCCCTTCTTAGTACCAATTTATTTTTTAGTTAGCTTTTCATCACTGTGATCAAAACACCAAGAACAACTTAGAACACCTCATATCCAAACCTTAAGAGCATATAAGTAGTAAAATCTGAATCACACATGAATCCATACTTACATAAAGTCCTGAAAATATAGGTTTTAGGTTCCTAGGCCTAGCATTTCAGGAATTTGGAATAGATCCTGAGTGAGCTGGTCTGCAGCACTCACCCTAAGGCCTAATTAAAATTCCCTCGGTTAAATCTGTTTCATAATTATCAATCCAGAGTTCTGTAGAACTTATAGAACTTGCTGATACACCATGAAAGGGTCATTTAACCTTTCTCAGCCATAGTTTTGCTTTGTATTGGACAGTTAATAATTACTACCCTAAACCTAGTTGTTACAACAGTCACTCTGTCATCTGGTGGAAGCAGTCTAGCTTCCTGGCTCATGAGCTGGCAATGAGACAGTACATCCTCCAGATTGCTACCTCAGAAAACTTACTAAAACACAAACCGTTAGTAACTGTGTTACTGCCCTACTTAGGATTTAGTCATGCCTCCTTATTTCCCAGAGGATCAAAAAAAGGGCTTTACTTCTTAAAATAGCATGCAAAGACGTTTATGATCTGGTCCTATCTACCTTATGTGCCTCAGGTCTCTTTCCTTTATTCCTTAAACTTTTCTACCTCTTGCTATTCTAGTTCTTTTCCAACTGTGTTGAACTGCTTCAAGTCACCCACACCCACCATGTTGCTTCATGCTTCTGTGCCTTTACTAGTAATCCCAAAGTAAAGGGAGGCATAGGGTTTAGAATCCAAACACTGGGAATCCTCTTAACTATCTAGGGTTATTACTTAGCACAGTGCCTGGCGTTGAGAAAGTGGTCAGGACGTGTTAGTTTTATTGTCTGTGAAGCAATGCAGTAAAGAAAGGTTCTTTGGAACCAGACAGGCTTATTTCCAAAGCGCTGATCTATCACTTCGTGGGTCTGAATCTATGGGTTATCATATCACTTAGCCATCTTGAGCATTAGTTTTCTGTAAAGACCTATCTCAGGAATGTGGAAGGACTTGGAGTGCTGTTAAGGTGTCCATCACATACCTGCACAGGGTAGATGGCCAGTGAACAGTAGATTTTTATCTCCCCTGTTATTTCTGCCACTGTATTTTAACTATTTAGTACTGCTAAGTAAGATTGGTTACTGAAGGGCTCAGAGTGCCACAGTTCCTCTAATGCTTTTTACTTGAGCATTTTTTTTTACTTGATTAGTAGAATTTTTTTCTTTATCTATTTACCTGACTAGTTGGCATTCTGTACTTTAAACCATCATAGCTTTGTGTTCTGCTACCAGATCTGAGGGTAGAAAGCAGAAAAAAGAAAGGAAAACAACAAAGGTCAAGCTGATTCACTTGTTCTGTGGATATTCAGACCTAGGAAAAAATCTTTTCCAGGTCTTTCACATTTCCTCTTCCATTTCTCTCATCCCGATGATCTGTGATGTCCCTTTACTACTGAGTTTAATTCATTTCCTTCTCTAGCTAGATAAATCCAGTCTATGATATCAGCACTCTTTTATCTCTTCAGTCAATTAATAGCATAATTCAGGAATAATATTTCACATTCAGATAAGTGGTGCCTGTTTGAATCTCCATATTTGAAAGATGCTAGGCAACCAACAAAAAATATATATACTTATCAATGCATTCTTATACACATACTTATACACATTCTAATACACAATTTATTTATACTTATTCATTGAGCCAGGCTTGTCATTTTGGAGGTAAGGCTTGGCTTTGAGGCTTTTTAGACCGTGGACCAATAATCTTCTTGAGCTCTGTTTGTTCATTTATTTTTTAAACATTTAATTCTTTTTTTTTTCAGTGGTAGATGAACACAGTACCGTTATTTTATTTATTTTTATGTGGTGCTAAGGATCAAACCCAGTCCTCACACATGCCAGGCAAGTGCTCTACCACTGAGCCACAACCCCAGCCCTGTTCATGAACTTTAAATTCCTTAGAAGGGAAGACAGTCAGACTTTAGAAACATGATATTATTTTACATCTCTAGATAAATGTAAACACATACACATATACATATATTTTTCTAGCTCCAATTTTCCAATGACATTTTATCATTTATTAAGGTATAACTAGTGTATCCTGCAATTCCTTAGTAAAACTTGCAAGAATTAATGCTGTACTTAGGACACTTACTGATCCATGGGGAAGAGTTTAATGTTTTCTACTATTTGGCTAACTGCATATTCTGTGGATACTCGGAACTAGAAAAAAAATGAGTAGTCAATTTATTGAAGGTACCTTAAAATAAATGAATATCATGAACAAGGGACCTGTCTCTGGATTTAGACAGCAAAATGGGACAAGACTTGACTAATGCACCAATTCACTTTTTATGGAAATAAAGAACCCAATATGTTTAATGATTTACCCAAAGTCATAGAGCTATTTATTGTCAAGTTGGCTTTCAAAGACTCATGACTATTGTATATTAACTAGCTAACTTTAAATAAAAGCTGTCAGCATTTAGTAGTTATTGAGAAAAGCTCAACAGTGTTATTCTCTTTCACTTTTTTTTTTTTTTTTTGGTTACAGCGAGAGGAATGGTGTTGAAATAATTTTAATGAAGAACATATTGTCCTTAATTTTCTCTTTTAGAAATGGAAGATTGTTAGCTTTCATGGCTCCTGGGGATAAAAGAGATAATGGGAGCCTTATTTCTTCTTCCTTTACTCATTCTTCCCTGCGAATCCACCCCCTTCTTAGAGGATGAGATTGCTTCATTTTTCTTTAGTTTCAAAGAATAACAAAAATAAAATGTTTATACAAAGGGAACTTCTACCACATCATACCCTGTCACTTATCTCAAGTCACTGGTAAGGAAGGACTTGGTGGATCCCCTCATCTCTAGCCAAGGGATTTCCAAGCTCCTAATGGGAGAAGGAGATGATTAAGAACACAAAACTAAGTGCACACGCATATGTATAAACACCAAATCTTCTTAAAGACAGTTTCTGGGTTTAAATTTTTAAAAAAATTTCCACACATTTATATTGCAGACATTTTCAGAGGCAATAAGATTTAATGTGGATTTTGGAGTTTTTGAAGTGATTAACGATGCTCCACAACTTCTGGAAAAGCAACTGAAAAAAATTCTACAAAGTCAGCAACCTCGAAATCCCATCTATGATGTAGTAAGGAAAGGAAAGAATGATGTTAAACCCATTCACATGAGTGTCCCCAGTGAAGATGAGACTATTAATGTCAACTACAATATTATGGTAAGAAAGCATATCTGAGTTTATATCTTGAAAGAGAAAGTGTTTGGTGAGAATAAATTATAGTTCTTTAGACCTCCCTTTCTGAAATCTAACTGTATTTATTGTTGTACATACACATAGTATTTGTTATGCACTATATCATCTGTGCATAGCTAGTGGTCAATTTAGCAATTTTGTTGCTGTTTATCAACTAAGAAGGTTAACATAATTTACTTGGAATACTTATTATCAGGTTATTTTGTGGCAATATAAATGTATATTCTTTACTATGTAGATTAGTTGCTTTGTAGGAAATGTGAGTTTATATGGAGAATTTACTTCACTTGGGTTTTAAACCAATACCATTAAGCAATTAGTAGTTAAAACTTTTGATCCTCAAGTTGCTGCAGGTGGCTTTGACCTCCCGGGTCTTAAATTCTATTAACCGCCTCTAGTTTTTGCCTTCTTAGCGTGAGGTCAAAATTCTGGGTTCTGACATGGGTTGTTCATTTACCAGGTCTGTGTCCTTCAACAACTCACTTTGATGAACCTCATTTTCACCATCTGTCATGCTTTCACTACCTAGTGCTTAGGTTTGTTCTGTGGATCAAATGACAATAATAATGAATGTTTAACAATACTATTTTTATCTGACAGAACTAGGCTAAAATAGGTCTAACACTTCAGACATAGCTCTGTTCCAGCCTTAAAGTTTTTTAATTCTTCAGTTACTAAATTGAGATATATATTCTATCTTTCCTGTTAACTTTATCAAATTAAATGCTAATATTAATACCTACATTAAGGCATTGTTTTGAAGCCAAAACGAGGAAATAAAGTCTAAATTTTTAAAAATACATATTTTTTAGTTGTAGGTGAACACAGTACCTTTATTTTATTTTTATGTTGTGCTGAGGATTGAACCCAGTGCCTCATGCGTGCTAGGCAAGTGCTCTACCACTGAGCCACAACCCCTACCCCTAAAGTCTAAATGTTATCAGTTGTTTGTTAAAAAAGATTTTTTTACTTGATGTGCCTATGATACTTATTAGCAACAATAATTACTAGTGAAGAAATAATAAACATCAATAATTACATGAAATTTAAGTGGCCAAAGCACCGCAATTAAAAGTCAGAGTCAGGGGCTGGGCCTGTAGCTCAGTTGTAGAGCACTTGCCTCACACGTGTGAGGCACTGGGTTTGAGCCTGAGCACCATGTAAAAAATAAATTAATAAACAAAGATATTGTGTGTCCATCTTTAAAACAAAAAGTCAGAGTCAAATGGGATAAAAAAGAAAAACAGCTATTTTTTGTCTACAAGAAATCAACCTTAAATATAAGACATAACTAGATTAGAAAAAAAAAGGATAGAAAAGGTATACCATAAAATTACTAATTAAAAGAAAGCGAGTGTGGTTATATTAATACTAGACAAAGTAGATTTCAGAACAAGGAATCTCGCTATGGAAGAAGAGGCGTGTGGGGCTGGTCTGTAGCTCAGTGGTAGAGCACTTGCCTCACACATGTAAGGCACTGGGTTCAATCCTCAGCACCACATGAAAATGTATAAATAAATAAAAATGTATTGTGTCCATCTACATTAAAAAATCAATTATTAAAAAAAAAGAAAAAAAGGAATGTTCCATCATGATAAAGGGGTCAATTCACAAAGAAAGCTTGGCAATCCACAATATGTATCCACCTTACAAGAGGACTTCAGAATATACAGTACAGAAGCTGACAGAACTGAAAGAGGAACCAGACAAGTCCATAGTTACAGTAGGAGATGAAAACTATGCTCTCTCAGTAATCAATAGAAAAGGTAGGAGATCTGTAAGGACATGAAGTTCTGTATGACACTGACAATCAAGACAATGTAGTTAATATTTATGAAAATTTTACCCTATAGTAGCAGGTACACATTTTTTTTAAGTACACTTGTACTATTTACCAAAATGGACCACATTCTGGGCCTCAAAACAAATTTCAACAAACTTAAAAGACTTGAAAGCATGCAAAATATGTTCTCTAACCCAGAATTAAACTATAAATTAATAACAAAAAATATCTGGAAAATCTCCATAAATATTTAAGTAATTAAACAAAACATCTCAAGGGAAATGAGAAACTGTGTTGAATTGAGTGAAAATCAAAATCCAGCATATCACAATTTGGAGGATGCAGCTAAATTAGTCTGTGGAAAGAAATTTATAGCATCAAGTATTTATAATAGAAAATACTAAACTCAAATCATGATCCACCTTCCACTATAGGATACTAGTGAAATAAAATCAAATCCAAAGTAAAGGACAAAATCAATTAAGTTGAACAGAGAAAATCAATTAAATTAAAGAGAGAAAATCAAATGAAAATGAATTCTTCTTCTTTGGGAAACAAATCAATGAAATTGATAATCATTTAGCTAAATGATAAAAAATGAAAAGACAAAAGATAAATGACTACTATCAGAAATGAAAGAAAGGATATCATTACAAACCTTATAGATGTTCAAAGAAAAATAAGACAATTTTACAAACAACTTTACATAAACTCAATCATTTAAATTAAATGGCTATATTCTTCAAAAGACACAAATTATGAATGCTCACTTAAGGGGATGAAGATAATCTGAATAAAAGAGGGGGAGGGAGCAGGACTGGAAAAGGGAGGAACTGCAGAATGAAATTGGCTAAATTATGCTATGTGAATATACTACAGTGATTTCTGATTTTATATATGTCTATAAAGCACCAATAAAAGAATAACAAATAAATTGAAGGAAGATCAGTAGAGTAAAGGAAGGAGAATAAGGAGAAGGGAGAAGGGGAGGGAAAGAGGAAGTACTAGGACTAAAATGGAGCACATATTCCACACGTGTATGATTAAGTCAAAATGAATCCCAATATTACATATAACTACAATGCACTAATAAAAACATTTTAAAAACATATCATCTGAGTAGCCCTGTGTTAAAGGAATTGGATCTGCAGTTAAAAATCTTCCCCCAAAGAAAATTCCAGTCCTAGCAGCTGCACTGATAAATTCTATCAAACATTTAGTAATGAGTGTTGTAATGAATGAGATAATACCAAATTCATGAAAATTTCCAAAAAAAAGGAGATATCAATTTCCATTTCAATTTTATGAGGCTAACATTATTCTGATGCTATCACTAAAGAAAATTCAAGGAAAAGAAAAAAAAAACCCCACAAACAACTGGGTATGGTGGTACTAGCCTTTAGTCCTAGTAACTTGGGAGGCCAAGGCAGGAGGATCACAAGATTGAAGCCAGCATCGGCAATTTAGGGAGAAGCTGTCTCAGAATAAAAAGAGCCGGGCATTTAGGTCAGTGGTAGTGCAACTCTGGGTTCAATACCCACTACCACAAAACAAACAAAAAAATGACAGACAAATATCTCTCATGAATGTGGACACAAAAATCCTCAAAAAAAAGGTAGGCAAATTGAATTCAGCAATGCAAGAATAAAAAAAGATAATTTTTATCATGTTTTAGAAGATATCATGGGCATAAATCTTTATTATCTTGGATTAAGCATTGTTTTGTTTTGTTTTTAGATATGATGGGGAAAGTACAAGTGACAAAAGAAAAAAATAAATGAATTGGACTTCATCAAATTTTAAAATTTTTAGCCAGGTGTGGTGGCACACAGCTGTAATCTCAGCTATTCAGGAGACTGACGAAGGAGTATTGCAAGTTTAAGGTTAACCTGGGCAACTTAGTGAAATCCTGTCTCAAAAAAAAAAAAAAAATTAAAAGGGCTGGGGATGTAGCTCAGTGGCAGAGCACTTGTGTAGTATGTGCAAGGTCCTGGATTCAATCTCCAGTACCACCCGCTCAAAAACTTTTAAAAAAATTATGCTCTAAAAAAGATTACCAATAAAGACAACCTATACAACTGCAGAAAATATTTACAGATTACATATTTTATGAAAATTTGTATGTAGATTTTATAAAGGACTCTTACAACCTAACAATAAGAAGGGAGATTTAAAAAGACAATTTAAAAATCCGACTAGAATTTGAATGGACATTTCTTCAAAGAAGATATAAATGTCCAATGAGCACATGAAAAGATATTCAACAATCTTTAGTCATACAGAAAATGTAATCCAAACTACCAGATGTCACTTGACATCTACCAGGATGGTTATAAAAATCAATTTTATTTTTTCAAACTTTTCTTTTTGGGTCAAATAGATGCCCATATTTTGTAAAAGGTGGAAATATGCAGGTAAACAATTTTTTAGTTAATTATTAGGCAGTTTGGTTTTGGATGAACTAACTAATCTGACAACCTTATAGAATTCCTAAAGGGTTTATATTGCTCTTTATACACAGTTTGGCATTTTTGAGGGGAATTGAACTCAGGGGCACTCGACCATTGAGCTACATCCCCAGCCCTATTTTGTATTTTTTTAGAGACAGGGTCTCACTGAATTGCTAAGCGCCTTGTGTGCCTGAAGCTGGCTCTGAACTTGCAGTCCTCCTGTATCAGCCTCCCAAACCACTGGAATTACAGGCGTGTGCCATAGCCCTGACTTGGCATTTTTTTTAACCCACTGAATGTACTGCTAATGAAGACTTCAGCATCCTGAAGGGTTGTCAGTTTGTAGCATCTTTGGAGTCTTCCTAACTGCAAGATCCAAATTTCTTTTAGATCTCACTGTAAGCCACAAGGCAGGCAGGCAGTAAGGTGCTATACTATTCAGGTGCTGGCTGTTTCCATAGTTTTCTTCTATTCTTTTGTTGCCCAGAAGATAGTGTTTGATGAAACCAAGTGGATGTTTTTGCTGAACAGGAGGAGACCATTGTGTGCCAAGTTTTCCATTCACGAGAGCCTAATGACTTTGTGCCAAATGTCAGCAATGTTGATTGAGCACATGTGCATTCTCATGAACATCGGATGTTCATGATGCCAGTAGCACTACCGTGGTCAATCACTTTCCTCATGGAGTTAGTAATGGTCTGTGTTGACATCTAATGCTACTGTCACAGCAAAACTAGGTTGTAGCAAATGGTCCATGAAAGCCACACAAATGCAGACACGAATATGTCACTGAGATGTGTGTTTTATTGGTGGTTTTACTTTTTGGTGGCATTTGTTGAAGTACTGACATTCTTTAGAATTGTGAAAAAAGTGAATAAAGAAAAATTAAAATCAATAGTGAGTAGGTTTTTCAGGATGAATAGCAGCTTAAAAACTCCTCAGTAATTTTGTATTGCCTTCACAACCTCAAGGTAAAATCTAAACTCTTTAATGTTAATTAAGACTATTCACAGTCAGGCCCCAGCCTGCTCCTCCAGCCTTCCTCCTTTTATCCCTCAGATTGCATCCTGTGGTCTAATATATAAACTTGTCCCCTCTTCCCTTCCACAACCTAGCTAGTCATGCTTTAGGTCAGAGAGTGCAGGACATGCTCTGTGGAAACATCTCCTGAGTTGGGTGTGTATGTGGGCACCCACAGAATCCTGCACTGTGGCACCACAATACAGCCTTGGTATCTCTAGGAAAGTGCCTGGGAGTGTTTAATATTTAACAAAAAAAAATTTTACACTACAGTGGCCTTTATTGTTTCCTTGGTGGTTCTTTTTCTGTTTCTGATAATGATGATAATTGCTGCTACTACTATTATTATTAGCAGTAGTAGTAGTAGTAGTAGTAGTAGTAGTAGTACTGGGGATTGAACCCAGGGGGCACTCTGCCACTGAGCTATATCCCTACCCCTTTTTATATTATTTTGAGATAAGGTCTCGCTAAATTACTGACGCCTTGAACTTGAACTTGAGATTCTCCTGCCTTGGCCAGGTCACTAGGATTACAGATGTATGCCACCAGGCCTGGATTTGTTTATGATTATCGTAACCTATTTTATGATAGTAGAAATATTAAAATTGACTGACTTTTCTTTTTTTCTCTTTCCTCTTCCTCCTCCTCCAATAAGTTACTTAACTTTCCTGGATTCAACTAGTTAATTTATAAAATGGAGATAATAGTTGATACAGGGTTTTTGAGAGAATGAAAGAGGTACTATACACAAGAAGTTGCCTCACATTTGTGGCTCAGGGTCATTGCTCTCTCTTGTACAGAGAGGTAGGAGTGGAGTGCCTAGTGACAGCAGGAGATCAGTATTGCTCTCATGATTAGGCCTCAGTTTTCCTAAAAGGTGACTTTCTTTGACACCGTTTTTTCACTTTCTCCTAATAGTGTCTCAATCGTGAACAAGGTATTAAGTGGATCAAAAAACAAAGACTTCCAGCATTTCTAGAAAGTGATTGCTACTTTGAATACAGGTATTAGAGTTTCATATGTCTATTATTGTTCTATACCTATTTTTAAATGCCTACTTTTTCAACTACAGTCATTTTTTTCTGTGATTTCTTAGTAAAATGGTATGCCTTTGACTCCAATGGAGTTGGATCCACCTGCTATAGAATAAGAGTGAGAGACCACTGACAAAAATTGCTTAACTTTTCCAAAGAGATTTCACAGAAACATCACTTAACCAATGTACTTCAATTATACTTCTTTGATCATTATACTTTTAAAATTATCTATGGTGATAATGGTATTTATGTGTGGGTGCTTACAAATGAATGTTAGTGTGACATTAAAAAGATAGCATGTCATCCAGGCATAGTGGCGCACGCCTATAATCCCAGCAGCTCTGGAGGCTGAGATAGGAGGATCATGAGTTCAAAGCCAGTCTCAGCAAAAAGTGAGGCACTAAGCAAATCAGTGAGGCCCTATCTAAATAAAAATACAAAATTGAACTGGGGATGTGGCTCAGTGGTTGAGTACCCCTGAGTTTAATCCCTGGAACAAAAAAAAAAAAAAAAGAAAAAAGAAATAAATAAAAGATAGCATGTCAATACAGGGCCAAGATTTTCCTTTATGTTCCCTGACTTTTAAACTATAAATACCTAAGCATTCTGAAATTATACTAAAATTTGACTTTTGCTTAGAACAACCATTTTTAAAATAAAATAAATTAGAATAGAAAAATATTAAGTAATGAGTGGTTTGATAAATAAGCCATTGGTTTTAGCAGAGCTTAAGAAAATCATCCTGCAGAGCTACGAGGAGAAGAATACATAAAATGAAATTTTAGGGGTTTCTTTTTCCTGAATTCTACCATATTTGAAACTTATTTCAAAATTCATGATTTCTGCATTTCAGGTTAGCCAAATTAGTCTCACAAGTAAGATGGAGCCAGTCAGGTATGACTTTCACACTTGGTTCAGATACTTCTCCTTGGATCATGAGAAAACTGCCTACTCCACCGCCTCCTCATGATGAAGAAGACAATCTCCTGGTTCTGAAAAAGTTCTACATTTCTCTTGGCGAGGTAAAAGTATTAGTAATTTTTCATGATAGAACTTCAATGAAACTTTTTGTTTCATAGGTATGTATGTCATTTGTATTACTTAAGCAGAGAAGATGATTTCAAAAGCTTTTAAAGCCAGGCTCAGTGGCACATACCTGTAATCCTAGCAATTTAGGAGCCTGAGGATCATAAGTTTGAGGTTAGCCTCAGCAACTTAGTGAGACTCTATCTCAAAATGAAAAATAAAAAGACTGGGTTATATCTCAGTGGTAAAGTGCTCCTGGGTTCAATCTCCAGTACCCCTAGCCACCCCTACCCCTCCCACCAAAAAAAAAAAAAAAATTAACCCCATTTAAAGCATACTTAACAATAGTTCTTGGGGATTTATGTGTACTCATTTTCTATTTATTCTTTCACTTAAAATACAGTTAGATTAAGGTATCCTTTCACATCTGAAGTAACAAAAGCAAGACTAAAGAACATCTCAGTGTCACCCAGGAAGCAAGCATAACATGCATTACCCCTGATTTAATTGTTCATTCCAGAATTGTTATTTGGATTCAGTTAACTTTTGCACAAAAAGATGATGAATTGGATCTTCTCACCCCTGTACTGCTATAATTCCTTAGTAGTAAAATGCATTATTTTTTAACTGCTATGAGATAAAAATTTATCCTCCGTGATTGTAGAAATGTGGAACTGTATGAATGCATTGGAAGAGATAGAACCTAGAATCAAATGTCCTTTTGGATCATTGCAGCATTTAGCCTCTAATTTTAATCAGATCTTATTTCAGGGAATATGCTTCTGATAAACAATTCTATACAAAATCAGGAATGGTAAATATGTGCTCCATGTGCTGTTGCTTTCTTAGTGCTCATTCAGGACAGACATTGCTAATCAATTGTGGCACTTTTTCTGCTGAGCTAGGGCTTGACTCCAAATTCTTTTCAATACAGTTTTTTTTTAGACAGGCACTTCCTATTGATTAAAGATGCCAGATAAAAGGAAACCTCTTTTTTGTCTGTGTTGGAATGGATAGACTTATGGTAGTTGAACTTTTTTTCCCCATGTGTATCTTCTAGTTAATTTTATCATTGGGGCATTTCTATCAGTAATCTTTATCAAGAATGTTTAAAATTATACCAGTCCCATTATTTCTACTCGATAATGTTTAATGATGTACTAAAGGCATATTTTTCTTCTCTCTTATACTTATTTTAAGCATTTTTTCTTAATTTATATAGTACAGAAATTTCATGAATGTCATAAAATATGGACTGATAGTTGAGGCCAATAAACTTGCAAAGGGAAGATCAATCCAGGAGACTAAGTCCTGACTCCTTTTATGTGAAATTAATCAAATATAGGAAGTAAAAATCCAAGCTAGTTTACTTTTGCTGTTTTCTGAGATTAAAAAAACTCATTTCTGTTCACTTGATTAATATTTTAACTGCATCACATAATTTTTCATAGCCTTTGAACTTTGAGGATTCATAGTTTTTTGACTCTTAAATTATTTAAATGACTATAAATATGAATTAATCTTCATGATAATTGGTAATATTTCTTTGAGCCTTTAGTTACACCATCTAAACACAATTGGCCCCTCTTAAAGGTGTCAAGTAGAATAATTAACTGATGACCAACTGATGATTTTTTTTCTCCCCTGTCCTCTACTCTCTTATCCTTTTTATGCAGTTGAAATAGCAGGGACATTGGTATATTATTCTCCCTCAATGTCTTGAGCCTCAATTTTTAGCCTCCTCTCTGTACTTAAGATACTGCTTAGAAACATAGTAGCTCTATAAGTAAATATTGAGCAACATATAATTAATATTAAATGACCTGGTTTTAAAGAAAAGAGGGAACAAAGGTGACTTCTTAGTCTTTCAAAGCTTTCATGCACAAGGAGCCTTCCCCCCAAGACGGGCAGTGGCTATGCAGAGAGGCACTTCTCCATTTTCTCTCTTGCTTTAGTCTCATTGTGTGGCCTGACTTGTCCTGCTAATTCTGTATAATAGACAGGGGACACTGTCTTTCATTTGAGCCCTGCCTCTTCTGTGAGTGCTAGGCTAAGTGCCCACCAGCTGACAATTGAGGAAAGGAGAAATGAGAGGAATGCAGGACACTCCCTTCTCTGTTCCTGTTAAACAACTTAGATTATCTAGGAAAAAAATAGGAGATGACATTTCTGAGAGAGAGGCAGCCAGAGGAATTTTCCCAGGAAAGCTGGGATAGGAGTTTCTTACGGGCTGGGGTTCTAGAAGTTACAAATCAGCTTGGGAATTCGGCCAGCTGGCTTGGGATACACAAAGCAAAGGAGGAACTGACCAAGGAGCAATTGGAGTCAGGAATCAATCAGTCTGCAGGAAGCATCCAATCCAAGAAAAGTTGTAAAAATGGAGTTTTAGGCAAAGGGGGCAGCTAAGCTTGGAGAGGTTGCCAGTGGTGCTAAGAGTAGAGGTCTATCCCATTGAGGAGGAGCTGATAAAAACATTGAGCCAGGTCAGGCAGAATTGAGAGCATGAAATAATTGGAAAGGTTGTAAATGAGAAGAGGTAGCAAAAGATACATCAAAGGATGTAGTAAATCCAGAAAGGAGGGTTTCATGTCCAGCTTTAGTCAGCAATAGCCTGAGAGTAAGTGTGGAGGAGAATTTGATGGTATTGTGCTCATTTTTTCCCTTTGATTATGTGATATGAAAAAAAAATATATGGATTGAAGTTATCCTCTTGCTTAATGCATTTTAGTACAATTTTTCTTTTTTTCATAGAGTAATTTTCCCATTACATATTGTACTTCACAAATTGAATATTATTTAATGATTTGTCCAGGTTGGCAATTGGAGAATTACTGTTAATCTTATGTTCAATTTTTCCTAGGCTTCCTTCACTCAAACAAAAGATTGGTTTACACTAGCAAAACAAAGTCAGGAAACTGTATGTACCTTTTCATTACCCTGTTGTATAACCCACAGCACAATTGAATCTCCAGCGATTTCACCCATTACTGGTAAGCAGAAAAGGACAAGATTGACTCAGAGCTTCTCTTTGTTGTTTGTTCTGGTCTTATAGGACTTGTGACTGAAGAGAAAACATTATCCACACCGCCCATGCCTCTTCTTCACTTCCTCTTGCTTCTTGAGAAGCAAGTTGGGATGGTGAAAGGGGAGGGTTTAAAAGAACCCAACTCGAATACTTATATGTTGTGTGAATTTTTTATGATTTATTCCACTTCTTGTTTTTCTCATCTATAAGATTAGACAATGATACATGCTAAATGTATAGAAAATGCCTACCCTCGTGCTTGGCACCTAATCTACAGTTGATAAATGTTTATCTTGTCTTTATTTCCTATCACAGTTCACAAGTTCTTATTATTAAGCCTTTGCAATAAAGTGGGTACAATAGTTCTGTCTTCTTAAAAGTGAAGTCATTCATAGAAATTGAGTTTCCCGTCTGTTTTTTAAGTTCAGACGATTTTTTTCCTCAAAAAACAAATAAATTTCTACTGCTATTATAGGTACTTTTGTGGGTGATACAAACGTTCCACAAAAACAACTATAAAAAAAAGGAAACTTCTAGAAATGGAACTTATTAGCTATAATATTATTAGAGGAAAAAATCTAGATGTGATTCAGGAAAAGTGTTCAGGAATTCACTTAAACAGTTACTAACTGTAAGAGTGTATTAACTCTAAACCTTCTGAAAGGTATGTGCAACTTTAGGAGAAGATAAATCTGGATACTCTAGAATTAAATCTAGGTCTAGGTAAAGAGGAACATAAACTCCTTAATATTGGATTTATGGGTTTCTTGCTATTTCTTCAAAATGCTAAAATATAATATTGGAAAGTATAGAGAGTAAATATGAAAAACAAGGTCCATAGGAGGATGGTGAGCAGAGATGTCTGCATCATATGCTCCCTCCCACTCTATGGGATTGAGCCCAGAAACTCCTGGAAGTTTCACAAAGTCTATGATATTAGGTAGGAAAATGCAGTGTATATAGGTATTTTTTTAAATAAAAATTAAAGTGAAATATTTCTAGTGTATTGCGATTTGAAATCTAGTAACTAAGAAAATATTAATCAAGGGTGGGTACAGATGACAACAGTCACCTGGTCTGTGGCTATACTGACGATGTGAAATATAGTGCTGCCATCTGATATTCACTGATTTCTAAGAGAAAAATGGGAGCTAAATACCATGTCTTTAGAAAGAGTGTAAAAATAATCCATTTGTAAGCCTTCATAAGTGCCTTGTTCTTTTGTAACTTTAATGATAGGTTGTAAGAATGCTAGGATTTGAATCTTTTTTCTAAAATAGTGAATGTTAAAGAATTAATGATTCCAGTTCTTGTCTGATCATCTGTGGTCTCATCATCTATGGCAGCTAATTTTCCTTTGTTACACAACATGCACATATAATTATTTAATATACATCTTTCTACTTTTCTAATAGATTTGGTCTTTATGTTTGTCATTCTATATCAGTCTGAAATATTAAATTTTAAAAGCATACAATGTCTTTTTGAATATTCTCTGTGTTAGGAGTATCAAATATTTAGTCCATCTGCCTCCCTTGCCATGTTCAAGGAAGACAAGGAAGGCAACTGTTGGCAGTTTTTTCCCCTACTGGTTCCAAATGTGGCTTCAGAATCCTTCTGAAAATACTGGTCCATGTGCTCATCCCTGTGATAAAGTCATTTGCCATGCAGGCTCTATAACATCTGTGTAACAATATCAATTTTGTCTCATATCTAACTTAACCACACTTTATCATTTAATACAGAGAGTTTTATCTTTGATGATGGAGTTCACCCCAGGACCAAAAAAAGCCTCTCTAAAATCGCTGAATTTGAAGAAGAGGAGGAAGGGTCTATATCTCTAAAAGATACTCCCTCTCATGCTCTTCTGAGAGTATACCTTGAGAAGCAACGGGATGCGGCTAATGAAAAGTTGACATTGCACTTCTCAACGTGTGAAGAATTTTTAAACTTGTTTATATACTCTGTTTTAAGAGCAGCCATTCAGCAAATTACTGGCCAGCCTCTCACAGAAAGCCCAGACTATATAGATTTCGACAAAGTAGATCAAGTGTCGTTTCCTGATTATTTTTATCCTTTCTTTGGCAAGAATGTTTTAGCTGAACCAGTTCAAACTGAAAAGGAAAAAAAGTCAGAAGAGATATTAGAAAAAACAAGTTCAACGAGTGAGAGCATTGGACCTGAGAGCAGGGCTGACTGGTGTATGTCTCACAGAACTTATGACATTGGCAATAGAAAGGAGTTTGAAAGATTTAAGAAATTTATGAAGGGCACATTAGGGGAAAAGTATTTGTGGCTATGGATGGATATTGAAAGGTTGAAAGTTCTAAAGGACCCTGGAAGACATCAAAGGTACTTCTATTTTTTATTATTCAATAGTTTCAAAAACAAATTCTAGAATATTTGGGTTATTTAAGACAAGTAGAAAGACTGAAATAAATATAAAAATGTAGCTTACGCTTCTAGAGGAATGAATAATGATAAAATTTCTTTTATAATAATACTACATTTTGATTTCACAAATTTTCTGTTTTCATAGCTTTCAGGTACTAATATAAGAATGATTTGGGTTTGCATAATGTTTCATCCCATAAATTCTAGAACTATTCTAAAATTTTCTACTCAAGTTTTTATAACATTCCAATGATGTTAAATGTTTTAGACAAAAACTTATCAGTTGTTTAAGCACACTTGCATAGTAGAGCTATTCATGTCAGTTTGTAAGGGCCTGTTCCTAGCAAAACCTCTTTGGTTAATAGATTGCATGAACTTAGATCTGATTCCAAGTAGCTGGATATCTGAATGAGTCTCTCCACTGGAAAGCCTCCTGGAGATCTAATGGGGTTCAGGTTAGCTCCATATATTGTAGGTTACCAGAAGTCTAAGAATTTTAAGAGGACACTATTTTAGGAAAGTCCTTATTTTGACTGTAGTTTCCTGATCTTCTCTGAAGCAGATTATCTACAGTAGATTGCAATTCCTATTAAGATTAGACGGAGTATATGCTGAATGATAGGATTATTCTAGTTATTTTAATGTTTTAAGAGCTGAGGCACCATGATTGGTTATGGAGTGTGACCTGACTGATTATGGAGTGAAGGTCATTACACTTTTCAAGACATATCACAGAAGTTGCATGCAAGTAACCTACATAGGTTTTTCAGGATTAATACTGTTTCAATTATTGCCACAAAAAAATTACCTAAATTTTGTGGCCTAAAGCAACTAAATTTTACTTATTCTCTTATAGTTCTGGAGGTCCGAAGGCTCTGGGTGGGGGAGGGGAGATCCATTTCTTTGCCTTTTCTAATTTATAAAGGCCACCTCCATTCCTGAGTTTGTGGCCTCTTCCTCCATCTTCAAAACCATCAGCATGGCATCTTGCCCCTGACCTCTCTATTTGTCCTCACATCTTTATGACTGTCTCTCCTTCTTCCCTCTTTTAAAGGACTCTTGTCATTACATTGGGACTACCCTGATAATCCAAAATAATCTCTTTAAAGTCCTCATCTAAATACATCTGTAAAGCCTCTTTTACCATGTAAGGTAACAAATTAACAAATTCTGGGGATCAGGATGTGGACAGCTTTGCAAAACCATTCAGCCTCCCACAGATGCCCTTCTGTTATTCCCATAACTGTGAGAAATATTTGTATCACCACAAAAAATGTGTGGTATTTCTATATTGGTTTTGAGATAGTCCATTATTTGTCTGAAACACATTTGGTTAATAGAATATTGTGTCAATATGTGTGTATATGTAGGTATGTGTTTTATTTCAGACATCTTGAGAAGATGAAAAAATGCTATCTAGTGAGCAGCGGAGATTGCTACCTTTCTGCAGAAATCTTATCAAAATTTAAACTGTTAGATGGATCTCACTGGACTGAAGAACATTTAAAAAATATTCAGTCTGATGTTTTAAAACCTTTACTTCTGTATTGGTAAGAAAAATAATGTGAATTGAAGTTTTTTACTTTCACTTTTCTTAGGCTATTTTATGAGTTATGCCTTTTGTCAGATTGGCCTATAATTCATGGAAATTTAAATAACATTATTAATCTTTAACCCTCTTAAAAATACTTAACTTTTAAGTAATTGGAATATTTGGGTGACTAAATCCATAATGAGATTGGACTTAAGTTTTCTTTTAACTTTGTGAGCACATCCTTCTACACCTTACTCTTTTATGATCAGTATCCCATAAAATTGGTGTATGTGTGTGTATGTGTGTGTGTGTGTATACATAAAACTAATGTTACAGTTTTATCATCTCAGTGAACATTTTTTGAGCATTTCCTTTAGGCCAAGTGCTTGCCATGGATAAAGGATAAAACCTGTTCAACTAGGTAGGGGTCATGGTCCAGTGAGAGCAACGGACAGGTGAAATTAAATAATAGGAAATATGGTGAATGCACACCACGTGGTCCCTGCTTGCACAGAGAAGAGGGCACATTTTACTTGAGACTCAAAGGACTGGTAGCAAGGAAAAGCGAACAGACACGGTATAGATTAAAATGTGTGCTGTTTGAGGATCGGCATGGTGTACATTGTAACTGTTGGATCTGATTGTGTCATTTCTCTGCTTTAAATCTCACTGTTTTTCCCAAAGAAAAATTCAGATATTTTTAGAAATTAGCAAATCAGGAGGGGCGTGGTGGCACAAGCCAGCGGCTCTGGAGGCTAAGACAGGAGAATTGCAAGTTCAAAGCCAGCCTCAGCAATGGTGAGGTGCAGTGAGATCTTGTCTCTAAATAAAATACAAAATAGGGCTGAGGATGTGACTCAGTGATTGAGTGCCCCTGAGTTCAATCCCAGGTACCAAAAAAAAAAAAAATAGTAAATCAGGTAATCATGATTTGTTCCTTGTCAACTTCTCTGACATCATCTCCCACCTAAGTATTCTAGATTACGTACATGCTTTGTACTTTTCTATATGTAATGTTCTGTTCTTTTCTTCAGAAAATTTATTCTTTGATATTTTAAGACATACAGAAAGGTATGAATTATACTATAGTGGGTACATATGCACACACGATCCAACTTAATAAAACATTACCAACACGGGGAGATTTTCCTTTATTTAATTACACTTTTTGTTTTGAGATAATCGTAGATTTTTTGTTTTGAGATAATTGTATATTCACATGGAACTTTTATCCAGTTTCTCCCAATGGTAACACCTTGCATAATTATAGTACAATATCACAGTGAAGAGATTAATATTGATAGGATATGTCCATCTTTTCTACATATTACCAGTTCTACATGTACTCATTTGTGTGTGTATTTAGTTCCTTTATCACTTTGTATATCTATGCATGTGCCAGCATAATCAAGATACAGAACAGTTAGGATATCACAAGCTTTCTTTGTAGTGCCCTCTTATAACCACCCCGTACCTTCTGTCTCTCCCCTTATCCCTAACTCCTGGAAACCACTAGTAAATAAAATTATATGTAATCTTTTGCCATTAGCTTTTAAAAACTCATGCAATTGTCTTGAGATATATCTAAGTTGTATGTATCGAGAGTTTGTTGCTTTGTATTTCTGAGTAGTACTCATACACACATACGTACACTGTAAATAGATTTCTCCCACTCACAAGAACTTGAGAATTAAGGTATGTACAAATGTACACAAGAACTTATACAATAGCAGCATCAAAAATAGTACAGTACTAGTTTCGGACTCACTGCAAAATGGCCCATATTATTGGATGAATTCATATAATGGCTAATCAAAGATTAATGCTATGTGAATGAAATGAGTGTAAAATTATAATGGTAAGGGCAGTAAGGATTTATGGAGTCAAATCAAGATACTTTAATGATACGAATCATAAAATGGAAGCACCTACATTTCCTGGCCATCAGATGTGTGATGTATTTGATAAGGCATTTCTGGATATATGCCCACTTACTGATTGACATGTGAAAGGAAGTAATTTTGGATATCTCCAAGTGTGCTAAATAAAGCTTCTGAAATGTAGGATAGAATGACCATGACCACAGAGATTACATGGGATGCTTCCTGACTCTAAGCTACTTTTGGACTGTGGATTCTCCTCCACTCTTGCTTTGTTCACACTGAGAAGATATATACCTTCTTCCTATCATAAAGGGAAGTAAGTTTCTGCCAGGTTCTGCAATATGGAATAAAAATTAGTCCTTGGGCTGTGGCATCTGAGGGAAAACCTGGTCCAAGAACCAATTAGCCACAGGCCTTGACAGCTGGAGTTAACCTCATGTACAATAGTTAACCCACAGACTGAGTACCAGAATATCCAACCAATTAAGTGTGGCCTTGACATTGTGCCAGACATTCTTCTTCCTAAGTTTCTTGCAGTAGAATTGGTCTTTTAATTATATAAATTGTTGTAAAATTAATTCCTATCTTGAAAATAGATAACTTGAATCATAACCTACTTTAGTAGCATATCTGAGCATTACAAAAAATGTTTATAATGTCTAAAAATGTTAATTCCCCATTCTACCAATTTTTTATTGATACTATAAATACTGAACTGCTTTAAAATGATCACAGTATGTTTTTTATTTTACTAGAAGATGTTATTTAAATCTTCCTTCATCAATACATGTTTCTTTTTCTTATCAAGCAAATAATAACAGATTATTTTATGATATTTTCTTGCACCATTACCTTTTTATATGAGCAAATAGAATCATAGGCAATTGACATATAGAAAAATATTTTTTAAGGCTAGGGAGCAGAAGAATAGAAGTTATTAGAAAAGGGATATACTAAGATTGATTGTTGATTAAAGATTATTTGTAGGCTTTTGTTTTTGAGGCTTATTGTCTAATTTAATCTTAATATCTCTAATCTTAAATTTGTTTTTCCAATAAACAGGGCACCAAGATTTTGTGTTACTCATTCACCCTCAACAAAACATGCTACAGCTGAACTGAAATTCTGGCACCTCCGTCAAGAGAAACCAAGGAAAGATATTGATCCTTTTCCACAAATGGCAACCCTCTTGCCATTAAGACCTAAATCTTGCATTCCACATATAACTGAGGTCCAGGTAGGGTGTCCAGTCTATTCTTTGGTTTCTGCTGGTTACAGTTAAATATCCATGCTTGAGTGTTGTACACTGATCCTCCTAGTGGTTTTATCACATGCTTTATCAGTGTGGTGGTGAGTCCCAATGAACATGCTGCCACAGTTAGGAAATGGGAAAATCTACAATCTGTAGCCTACAAAGCAGCAAAAGTGATCGTTTTAAAATGTATGATTATGTCACTCATATGCTCAAACTCTCCATTGGCCTCCTCTCCCATTCAGAATAAAATCCAGTCTTGGTATAGCTATATAAGCCCCTGCCTTCCTGATGACCCTGTTTCCTACCCTCTTCTCCAACTTACTCTACCCTAACCACACTGGTCCCTTTTTTTTTTCTCTTTGATACAGCATGTAAAAACCTCGGGCTTTGCACCTACTGTTCTCTTTGCTTGAAGCACTTGTCTTCCAAATGTCCACATGGCCTCTCCCATCTCCTTTAGATGTCTGCTCAAATATCACTTAATCCTTGACTCTTCTGTATGCACACTTATGTAGAATACCATACACATCCATCTATCTGTGTGTGTGTCCTTCATCCTGCTTATTTTGCTTTTTTTGTGCGTATGACCATTTGATCTGTTTGTTTACTGTATTTTACCTCCTATAGAATATAAGGGATTTTTCTTTGTTACCTGTTTGTCCCTAGTGCCGGAAAACAGGGCCTGACATGTAATTACTGGTTAGTAAATATAAATTGAAAGAATGAATTATTCTTTGATATTGCAACAGCAGAATTACAGGCAGTGAGTTTCCGTCATCTGAGGAAGAATAAGACAGCATAAAAAGATAAAGGGAGGGCTGGGGCTGTGACTCAGTGGTAGAGCGCTTAGCACATGTGAGGCACTGAGTTCAATCCTCAACATCACATAAAAATAAAAGTATTGGGTCTATCTGCATATATAGAAGATAAGGAGAAAATCTGAAAAGAGAAGAAAAATTAACTGACTTTAAATAGAATAAATAAATAGTCCTTTGTATTTTGGCACAGAGAAGCAATAATTATATCTTCATTTCAATAATAAGCCTAATTAATCTTAGTTGGCTTTAAAGGTATTGCAGAATGTTGACTGCCATTGACTATACACAGCCTCTTCTTTATATTCAGGATATCTTATTTTTAAAGGCAGGAAGATGTATAATGAGGTTTTGAATGTTTTACTTCTACAAATAGTGTTTTAGAGCTAGAGAGACATTACAATTCTTCTGTCCATGGAGAAATCTTAAAACATACCAATGCCTGAATCCTACTTTCAGAAATTCTGATTTAATTGATCTGGAATGCATCAGGGTCACTGAAAAATCAGGGAGTTGCTTTGGAGGGTTCTTAACCCTCCTTGAATACTAGGGCCATGGTTTAGAACCTGCCTTTTTATAAGATTCCCAGGTGATTTGTATGGGAAGCACAGCTACTGGCTGTTGGTTCTCAAGCTTTGGCACACTAAGCATCACCAAAGACCTCTTCAAACAGATTCCTGGTCTCCAACAGAGATCAGGGTTCAGTAGCTCTGGGGTGGGCCCAAGGCTTTCATTTCTAAACAGCTGCCTCTCATGAGGCTGCTCTGGGGGGACCACATTGGGAGTTAGTGTGTCTTTAGTGCACAAGTATTTGCTCATCCATTGTTTTGACTTCTTCCTGGCTTCCCTTGCATATTATGGCTATACTGTATGCCACTCCACTGATTACTCCTGCTGGTTCGCCCGTGTGACTCAGCGACCCAGTCACTAGGTGAGCACACATCTTGGAGGCAGACTTCAGGGAACATATCACTGAGAGCATACAAACATTTGCATAAACAACAACTTCAAACGGAGAGGTACTGGGGAAAGAAAAAATAAGATGTGGTTAAGAAAAGGACCTTGAATAAGTGAACACTGCCAAAGGAAGGGAGAGAGATTAGCTTGTGTGAAAAAGTGGTAGAAGCATGGATTTTCCTCTGTTGCCTTTGGCTTCCAGAGAATTAGCACCATCTGTTGTCCTGGATGCTTTGTAGCTGGACAGTGCTTTCTGATCTCAGGCACTGTCCTTGGTAGAAAGCACTCATTGCCGTTTTTTTCCCATTCAAAAATTAAGATATCATTCCTATACAATAAAAGATGCCCTTTTCAGTGTATAGTTCTGTGAACCTTGACAAATGTGTACAATGTATAACCACCATCAGAGTCATGGTACAGTTTCTTCCTCCACCTTCTTCCTCAATTCTACTTGCCCTCTTGTTGATGTTCCCACCCCCGCCCACCCCTATCCCTGTTCTAGCTTCCACCCAAGCCAGCAAGCTCAAAAACTCTTAACTTGGGCTTCTCTCTGTATGATACACTATAATTTGTGTGTGCGTTGTGTATGGTAAAAAGCACATGGCATGACATTATCTCTGCTATGTTTAAGTGTACAGTTTGCTGAGTCGTGGCTGTCCACCTTTGTGGAACAGAGTGCCAGGCTTTGCATCTTGCAAGTCTGGCTGTACACCCATTGGAGACAATGCCCCCTACTCTCCCTCCCCTCCTGGAAACCACATTTCTATTTTCTTTTTCTATAAATTCAATTACTTTTCTATGTTTAACTGTAAGTATCACTGAAAGCTTGGTCTTTGTTCCCATTGCTAATCTAGTAACAAAGGCACAGTTTTGGGAAAAAAGAAAAAAGGTTTTTTTGCTTTGCTAGCAAGGGAGAAACACAGGGGACTCCAGTCCCAAAGGCTGTGATTCTGCCCATCAGCAAGAACAGGGGGCTTTAAAGAGATGATTCAAAAGCTACCTTCCATGTGTTCTCTGTTGGAGTGGTAATTTACTTTTAATTGCCCTCCCCAAAGTCTGGATTACTTCCTTCCTGTGGGGATTGTGTACTCAAGGACAGATACATCTGCCTACCTGGAGAAGAAAGGTAGTCCTGTTTCCCCAGAGATTAGGGTAGGGGAGAGATTAGGGAGGAACGGAAAAAGCTACTTGTCCCTTTTAAAAATAAGTTGCAGTGGCAGAGCAGTAAGGGCTATATTTAAAGCATAAAGTGGACCACTCTTACTTAAGCCCAACTTCCTATGGGGCCTTTCTTTTATTGAGTGTTTGTTGATTAATGTCATGCTGTGTTCTGGATTACTAAAGGAGATTAGGAGCCCTGATATCTAGGAATCTATATGTAGAACATACTTAGGCAACTAATTTTGCTTCTAGAATTCTTAAAAATTATTAGTAGTTGTTAGGTATGTAGAGTATATATATATACTTTATAGTTCTGGATATAAAATATCACAAATATAATCCTGTTTGGATTATATATAGTAATCTAATAGAAGTTAACACATTAGAAACATTTGTTTGTTTTTCAAATTATAAAAATAATAAAACTACTATAAATTTGGAAATAGGAGACAAATCATTTCTGATATTACCTCCTTCTATGTAATTATTATTTATTTTCTCATAGGCATCTTATGGAATTTTCATTTTAGTGCATTTCTACTTTTATATTGATTATTTCTTTTAACATCATCAATAGTCTTCTGTGTGTGTCGTCATCTTCATAGACAGTTTTTAAGTGGTACATAATGGTATGCCTATGTATACCCTATACTCAGTTGTTTCTTTTTCCTCCATTTGTACATTTAGTTATTTATATTCTAGATTTAAATTGTTAACTTTTACCATAAAGCGTGTGTGTGTGTGTATGTGTGTGTGTGTGTGTGTGTGTGTGTGAGAGAGAGAGAGAGAGAGAGAGAGAGAGAGAAAGTGAGAGAGTGTATGTGTGTGTCACTGGGGATTAAACCCAGGGGTGCTCTACCACTAAGCTACATCCTCATCCTTTTTCATTTTTTGTTTTTTTGAGACAGGGTCTTGCTAAATTGCCCAGGCAGTCCTAGAACTTGTGATCCTTCTGCCTCAGCCTCCCTAGTAACTGGGATTATAGGTGTGCACCATCTGCACCCAGCTACCATAAAGAACTTTAAGAATGGGAACAATAACCATAAAAATAAAATGTCCGAAAATGGAAGTGCTATTAAGATGCATGTTCCTTCTCCAGGGCCAAAGGGTATCTTTGTTTTATTTTCCTGCCATGCAATATCCCCCACCCCAAACATATTCAATATAGAACAAAGAAAAGTTCCTGTCAGTTGCTTCCTTCAGCAGATTCTACTTTCACAGCAGTAGAGTCAGGACATACAATTTTTTGACTATTCTTTTCTTTCCTTAAATCTAACTTGTAATGGCATTTCACTCTGTGGGTTGCATAAAACTGGGAATTGGGGAAGGAGAAAATTTCCATTTTAGTAAGAAACATGGTAGGGTGTACGGTGAAAGAAAAGTCCTCTAGTGATCAAAAGAAATTTGAGGTCTGTGTACAGAATGATGTTTTATTCTCTCCTTTTTTTCCCATTTTGCTCACTTTTGATTTTGTTCATTCTCTTACCACTTTTAGAAAGAGGACTTCAGTTTATTACAACTTCCTAAATCTGCCAAGAAATTACCTAGAGTAAAAACAGCAACTCAGAAGCCTTTGAAGAATGAATCTTTGTATCTAGTTTCTTCAAAGGATGATGGGATTGAGAAAGGGTAGGTGAAATTTTGTGTGTGTCAAGTGCTTTCATACAATGGTAAGATTTTGAAGAATTTAAAAATTAAGTAGAAACTGAAAACCAGTACATTGATTTTATGTGGGTTCTTATATTTCAGTTGATATGTATTAAAGGTTTATACTTCATATATAGACTCTAAATTAATTGTGTAATTCCACATGTTAGTAATTTTAAAGAGATGCTACCTCCAATCTCTGACCTGTCATGAGCTGTACAATAAGGACTTCCCAGAGAAGATTGCCTTCTATCCTATTCAATAATTTATATTTCTCAAATTTAAGAACTCATAAGACTTTCCAATATTGTCATTGTTTAATATAGCATATTATTTTATCAATTTAGGCTTGTTAACATACTTACCTTTTTTATTGTTCTTTATTTCCAATGGGATTATTGGTCTTTTAAAAATTTTTTTTTATTTACAAAACAGTTCCATCACAAGGATCTCTTGAACTACCATTTAATACTTACAATCACTTGCCTTCCTTCCCCTTCCTCCAGCCACTGACAACCACTAAGTTGTTCTCCAACTCTATAATTTTGTCACTTCAAGAATGTTATATAAATGGGATTGTGAAGAATGCAACCTTTGAGATTGATTTTTTTACTCTTAATTTCCTTGAGATCTATCCAAGTTGTTGCCAGTATCTACAGCATGTTTCTTTAATCGCTGTGTAATATTCCATATATTACCCTTTTTAAAAATTTGGATATATCTACACCTAAAAAATAAATATTAAAAAAAAGCAGCTTTAAAAAAATTTGGATATAATGAGTTGAATGAGTCAGAGTAATAGTTAAAGTCACTACATTTAGGAGAGAATATTTCCGTTAAAGCTGTTCCTAAATATTTTTTGGGGGGGTTCTTTTTTTGAGGCTGTTTCAAATGGAAATGTTTTCTTTTTCTTTTTTTAAAATATTTTTTGTAGTTGTAGATGGATAACAGTACCTTTAACCTTTAATTTTATTTACCTATCTTTATGTGGTGCTGAGAATCGAACCCAGGGCCTCACACATGCTAGGCAAACTCTCTACCACTGAGCCACAACCCCAGCCCCTGGAAATGTTTTCTTAATTTCATTTTTGGATTTTTCATTGATAGTCTACAGAATACAGTTTGTTTATTTATATTTTTGTATATTTATCTTGTATCCTGTGACCTTATTGAACTTATTCCAGTAGATTTTTAATGGATTTTGCACATTATCTGAAAATGAATATAGTTTTAATTTTTTTCTTTCAATCAGGATACCTGTTATTTATTTTTATTCTCTAATTGCCTTAGCTAGACCCTCCAGTACAGTGCTCAGTAGAAGAAGAACAACAGACATCCTTGCCTTGTTCCCAATTTTAGGGAAAAGCATTCAACCTTTCACTATTAAGTATGATGTTAGTTATATCTTTTTCACAGATTCTCTATCATTTTGAGGAAGTTCTTTGGTGCCATATATACCAATTGTGCACAAAATTTGTTGATCAATTGGTTCTGATCCCAATAATTTAGGTCAATGCACATATCAGAAAGCAGCAAAGTTATTCGTTTAACATCTTTTACTGACATTTCTGAATGTCTGAAGCCCCAGCTGGATACAAGATTTGCTTATACAGAAGAACCTAAGGTACGTATTTTGAGGACTGGATAATCTTCTTTCTCTCTCATTGGTCAGTATCCCTTGATGTTAGAAAATTTTTTTATTGATTCACCATATTTTTCTCTACTAAGCAACACATTTTATTTTTTCCTTGACAAAGGATTTTCATACAAAAATTCTCCTGTCCTCTATGTTTCCTTTTGTAAGTAAGTTTCATGTTTCACTTATTATAAAAACTATTTGTTCTGGTTTGGGTATGATGACACCTCAGACATAAAATAGCACCCTTTGGTATTTTTAAATTCTTAAGTGTTGATTAAATAATATTTGAAGTTAGGTTTTGGAAATATAAAAAATATTTTTAATATTTATTTTTTAGTTGTAGTTGAACACAATACCTTTATTTTATTTATTTATTTTCTTTATGTGGTGCTGAGGATTGAACCCAGGGCCTTGCGCGTGCTAGGCGAACGCTCTACTGCTGAGCCGCAACCTCAGCCCCATGGAAATATAAAAATTTTAAAAGGCAGAGTATTCCCAGAATACAGCTACCTTTACGACATGGATTTAATGCACCTGTTCTAAATGAAGATTTCATAAGTATTATGCTTTAAGTAGAAACCTCAGAAGCCCCAATATAGTCTCAACACTTAGCTGTAATTTTGTGTAACTTTATTCTATTTTTAGCAAATAGTTCTCCTTTTTTTTTAATTAGGATTGTTTTTCCTACTAAAGTAATTATTTTTTTTTAGTTTGGAATGCTAATAGTTAAACATCATAAAACATCAAATTCTTATCTTGGAATTTGTTTGGCAGGCAGTTAAAAAGGTAGAGAGACAATACAATAGAGAGCAAGAGCCTTAATTAAACCCTAAATTTTTTCACACTCCACTTAAGATTATAAAGAAATCTGAGTTCCACAGAACAAATAACAGAGTTCATGCAAATAGCATATGCCCTCTCGTATTCTGGAGTCATTCTTGTGTTTGGAGAAATAGCTCTCCATGTTTCAAGGATGGCATTAGTGTTGCTAGCATTGTTGGCAGAGAAGCCATAAACAGCAGAGTTTTATGAGAACTTATATTGCCTTTTACACTCTGTAGGCCATGACCTATGCGGGGTGGCACTGTCCAAAGAGGGACTCCCTAAGGACAGATAATGAGCAGCACTGAGAGGCCTTGAAGATAGTTCTTTTTATATCCTCTTGTAGCTATAATAGCAGCACCTCAAGGCTAAAATAACAGTAAATAAGTAGGAGAGAATAGGCCACCAACAGAGATTTGGAAGACTTCTCAAATGCCATCACTGTGCCTGAAAAATGCGAACAACTGAGGTCGGGAAGTCACTTAAGATATCAAGTTTGAAATCAGATTGGCTTATAAAAGAATGAATTTTGCTGCTATAGTTGGCTCCATAAATGAATCTTATAACAGTCATATGCAAACAGACTGCATTAATGATATGTATAGTACAAAACAAAATAACATAGTACAGTGGGAAAATGACAGGCTGGCAGAACTTAGGAAACCCACTTGTACAATGCTATTAAACATTACAATGCTTTTGGGAGGATGATAGATTTCTGTTTTGTTATCTAGGTTAAAACCATAGCAAATATTGATGCCCTAGGAGGATACGACATGGAAAATTTGTTGCAATCTTTGTATGTAGAAAACAGAGCTGGATTTTTCTTTACTAAATTCTGCGAGGATTCAGGAAACAAGGTAGAAAAGAATTATTTAAAATTTTATAATTTTGCTCCATTTAAAAATAAGTGGAATTAAAACAATTCAGTGCTCAAGTAAATATATTTGATGGTAAAATTCCCATCTCTGGTAAGAAAGTCAATATTTTATATTTAGTAAACATTTAAACATCTCAATTATAATTCTCTTTGGTTTACTACTCTACTAAGATTACAAAGAAAAGTAAAATACAGATAGACCAAGATTGGCTTGCATTACTAACACTGGTTTATTCTCATATAATTTCATCTCAGTGTAATATATTTTAGAGTAGATCTCTATCAATCCTTTAATTTAAAATATATATATATATATATTTTAGTTGTTGATGGACCTTTATTTTATTTATTTTTATGTGGTGCTGAGTATCGAACCAGGGAGTCACACATGCTAGGCAAGCGCTCTACCACTGAGCTAAAGCCCCAGTCCTCAATCCTTTAATTTTTAATAATTCTACAAATTACAATGAGTAAAGGCAAAATTATTTCACTGGCTCAATTATTAGAATAATGTTTGGTTCTGCTATAATATACATTTGCTCCTATCAAAATACCTTCAGATTTTGGTTGCATGCCAGAAACATGTGGTTACTCTTTAACTAGAACACTTACTATTTTAATGACTAATTATGTGAGAGGCATACATGCAAAAAAATATAATGTCCCAATGACAATACCAATAAATATTTTGCATATTGCCAGTTTGTGATAAATGATTAAAACTACCATATATTGAACCTGATTTATGGTAACAGCAAGGAACTAACCAATGATTTATATTTGAAATTAGAGCTTTGTAGAGCTTTAATAATTGGTTGATCCTTGTTTATGTTCTTTTTCCATCTGCAGTTGTGGAAGAACTGTGTGTACTTTTGGTTTGACCTACAAGCTTATCATCAGCTTTTCTACCAAGAAACACTTCAGCCTTTTAAAGTATGCAAGCAAGCACAAGTAAGTAGTAAATAATGCTGGGTCCATGTGAAGCTCTAAGTACACAGAGAAATAAAAATTGTGTCCAGCCTCAAACAAGAGAAATCTGGGATTATAGGCAAAAAGGCAGCAGTTAAATTGTAGCCAGGGCATTACTTTATTTAAATGTCAGCAGAATATTGTCTTGTAATCTGATTTGTGGGTTTTCAGTTTTATCTATTTTATTTGGTTTGTTCTGTTTTCCCTTTGCTGCCAACTACTTGTTCTTCCAATAAAGAACATCTCATCCTTTTTTTCTCCCCTCTAACTTATACCTTTTTGTTTTGACTATGGGAGATTTAAAAGAAAACCCTGAGAGAGGACTTGTAATGAGTCACCAGAGTGACCAGGAGTCGCTGACCAGTGTTCTCTGAGCCTCCTTCATACCTCCACTGCTGGCTGCGCCAGGCCCCTCAGCCTCCTGGGCTTCTGTGCTACACACCCTGTGAGGCACACATTCACAGGGTGGTTTCAAGACCACCCTGAAGTCTCACAGAGAAGGAAGAACAGAAGATTCTGGAAAGGGGGACAGAGAAAATGGCTTCTTTGGCGGGGAGGCAGGAAAGGGAACAGAATTATGACTCAAGCTGACTTATCCTTTTGTTTTTTTTATTCTTGGGCTCTTCTGATCTTTTTATGAAGAGAGGTCTCTAAGCCTGGAAAACTGCTCATCACTTCTATATCTGTTGATTACTTAAGTGATTCTTTTTTTTTTTTTTTAGAGAGAGAGAGAATTTTTTTAATATTTATTTTTTAGTTTTCGCCGGACACAACATCTCTGTTTGTATGTGGTGCTGAGGATCGAACCGGGGCCACACGCATGCCAGGCGAGCGTGCTACTGCTTGAGCCACCTCCCCAACCCCCACTTAAGTGATTCTTATAACCCAGAATAGCCCATTCCAGAATACCTCCCCCCAAACACTACTGAGGAAACCAGCTTCATCATTTTATTCATCATTTCATAATCTTATTCAGGACATCAGATAGCACTGCTGGATGTCTGTTGTTTCTTCCGCCACCCTGACTCTGGCATGAATGACTCTGCTTTGTAAATCAGGGACAGAACTTTGTACTTTTTACTGTGAAAATAAGGGCTTCAGCTTCTACATAGCCCAGATGTCTCCTTGAAATCATGAAATTAATCTCTCTTTTACCAGTTCCATTTTCTGAGACCACACAGTTGACTGTTCTACTTGTTAATCCTTTACCTGTAATTCACTGTTTATCCTCCTCCCGCTAACCCATTGCCCCTGTCTGCTGTAGTACCATCAGTTATTTTTATTATGTTTTCACTTCTACAAAGAGTACTCCTCCAAAAATCTTCAACTGCTTAATGAAGCAGGAGGTTTTTTTCCCCCCCAGGGGAGGGGGGCAGTGGGGTGGGATGGTTAATAATAACCAGATTTCCATGCATTTGTAAAGAAGGAAATTCCTTTAAGCTTGGTATACTTATTAATTCTTAGTAGTGGTATTCAATTAGCTATAAATGATTATAAAACAGGACACAGACAGTTTAGATTATTCAGAGATGGATTATTCTGTTTTGAGATTATCAGGGCCTCTGAGGTTTTCCCCCTATGCTCTCTTTTTGGGAATTAAAGCCAAGTTGTGGGGAGAAAGGGAACAAATGAGACGTTTGGTTTTAGCAACAAACAGGGAGAAATAAAAGGAGCAAATTCATGTGAGTTTTTGATGTATTTTCTCCTTGCATCTATAGCTACTTTGTTTTATTTTATTTTTTGAAGGAGAAACAGTTGTCCAAATTGGTGTAGGTTTTAATTATCCAATGTTTCTGTGCCTCCAGATAGAGAAATTGACTGTAATGCCATAATCCTGTAGGTTTGTTTCACAGTTGGAAATATCACCCATTTCTTTATAATGGAAATATTGTATGGTTTCCTTCAAGGATATATTTACAATATGGATCTTTGCACTGATAATGCTACTAGCAGAATATAACTAGATGGCACTATGTTAAAGTTGCTGTGACTTGATTTATATAGTTTTCTTACATCTGCCAAATTGTATGCCAGGAGAGCAAGGGTGGATTCCAAGGGACTTACATGATTTTCTGTATACTATCCTGAAGTTTTATTGTCCCATGAAATATTATAGAAATATCTGTAGACAGACTAGATGGGGAGAGTTAGTAACAGTGATTTAGCATGACTAAAAAGTCCAAATGTTTGAACTACTGTGTTGGGCATACCCTGAAGTTTTCACTGCATGCCTTCAAGAGAACATAGTGCACAACTGTAAACCAATCAATTTGGTCTTAGCAAGGAGAAAGGGAATCACTTCTTTGTTTATAGATAAAATCTCTGACACTGGAAAGGCTTGTCAGGGAACCATCTACAACTTCGAAGATTTGAAAACTAGATACTAGACCTTTTGAATGTATGTGCTTGCTTCAGTGAGAGAGCATGACAATTGGGAAAAAAAAAAAAAAAACAGACCTGGGTACCACTGCTTTTTCTAACTTCTTACATCTTTATGAGTCTTTCAAACTATCCCAACAAAAATTATGCATTTATTATCTACCATTCTCCATAGCATACACATTGAGGTTTTTTAAAAATGGTAAACATGATACATTCATATTACATGTGTTTGTAAATATGTATACACACTGACACAAAAAATGTAAAAAATAAGAAATGAGAAGGAGGAAGAGAGAAGGAACAGTAAAACTTAGAGTCCAGAAGAAGGATTTTATGAGCCAGGTGCAGTGGCATACGCTTATCCCAGCGGCTCGAGAGGCTAAGACAGGAGGATCACGAGTTCAAAAGCCAGCTTCAGCAATGGGGAGGCGCTAAGCAACTCAGTGAGCCCAGTCTCTAAATAAAATTAGGCTGGGGATGTGGCTGAGTGGTTCCCTGAGTTCAATCCCTGGAACCTCCGCCCACCCCCACACACACACACACACAAAAAAATCAGGAGGCAGTGAGTAAAAAGGCAGGTAAGAGTGTATAAGAGGATTGCTAGATAAATAAATTACACTTTTCCACAAGCTATTTAAATAAAGATATTCTATAGTAGTATGGAATTTTTGCCTTATTAGATTAGATATCAGGGTTATCTAGTGTTATTTTAAAGAATCACCTAGGTCAGAGTTATATGACATAGAAGGAAAAAAAATCACAGAACTTGGAGTTTAAAGACATGAATTTAAGCCACATTCTGCTAGTTGCTGGCTGGGTAAATTCTGTCAAGTTAATTTTAATAAGCCTTGGCTTTGTGTTTTGCAAAATGTGGGCATTAATAATATTTTACATTCTGTTTTCCTTTATTGATTTGGAAATTGCATGTTCCATTTCTGCTTTTACCCTTCCAATTTTAACACAGATTCTGAAATTACAATTTGTCTAATTGTTAGACTTCTAAAAATATCTTAATTATCATTTCAAATTATTTAGGATCTTAGAACTTTTATTCTACCATACCTTGCTCATTTTAAATATAATTTTTGTAATATATATATTATGTTCTATTTTTTTTATTTAAATGCAGTGCTGAGAATTGAACCCAGTGTCTCACACATGCTAGGCAAGCACTCTAC